AGCCCTTAAATAATTGAAACATGCGGGGAATAATTATTTGAGGATTGGATATTGGAATGAATTAACGGGAATAATTACTTTTAAAAATGGAAGTTCTAAGTTCAAATTAATTTTTAGGCTTGGAAAAGATTATTATTATTTTTTTCCCAAAACAAAGTGAAATTATATGGGGTCATATTGAATCCAATAAATATAAAAATAATTATTATATGAAAGGGGGTTTCTTAAAAAAAATAAATATGACAATTTTCTTGATTAGGAATTTCCCAAATAATTAATTATTGAATTTATTTCTAATTTGATCACGGAGAATACCAAAATATAGTCTGAGATAAAAGAGCAATAAGAGCCCATTTTGGGCCCAATTTTTGGGAAAGTGGTGTCGTTTTTGTGACCATCTTGTGGGATGTCATTGTTATGATTTTTTACTGGGCTTTGGTTTTAGCCAGCAGAGGATTAGAAACAAAAAACGAAAGAGCGAAAGGGGAGGGAAATTTCGGGAACCGGGGGGGTTGCAGCGTACCAAATTCACCGGCGACCTGTATACAAGGGTGCCATCCGTTGCTCTGTCCTCCTCGCCTTTCTTTCACTCATTCTTCATCTCCCTTGGTCGCTGCCTCTTCCTCGTTCCTGCATCATCAACTCGTCTCCTTCATTTTCTGTTATGTATCTCATGGTGGTGCATGCTATCCGCGTGGTTTAAGCAAGGAATTGGGAATACGGTTTAATGGAAGATGGTGGTGGGGCTGTCCGATTGAGGTAGGTAAATATCCTTTGCATGTTTTGGTTTCTTTTCAAATTATGATTTCTCTCCGTTGCAAGTTGGGCCTGGTTAACGAATTGAGGCAGAAAATTTTGTGAGGTTGATGGGTTAGTTGAGATTTGTGTGATTGATGATTTATGGACTGCCATGATTTTTATTTAATTTTGTACTGAATGCATGCGCCCAAGGTGTTTGACGAATTGTATGATGGATAGAAATGATTTATTGTGAGGTATAACGATGAAGAATGTGTACTAAATTGAACCAGAGGCAAGTATTCTCTATAATAATAAAGCGTTTTGGTTGAAAAAGGAATGTATGAATTGAATTGGTTTAAATTTAAGATTGTCCGAGGGTTATGAGTTGAATCGTGGAATGCGCTTGAAGTGTTTGTTTAATGTTTAAGAGAAGAATTGGATTGGGAGGCTAGTAAAATTTGCCAGAAAGCTAAGGCTTATGCTATGGAGGGGCGAAAGGAACTTAATTAAAGTTTAAGTTCTTTAAGTTCATGAAGGGGATGGTGGGACACTCATGGCTGACAAAATGCTTCGCGGAGAGGGAAAGTAGGAGATGTTATATTTCAAACTCATGGCATTCGGTTGCTTAGCTAATATTTAAGGGTGATAAAACTCAATCGTTATTCGAATTTGTAACTTTATTATTTGTAGAAAAAGAAAAAGGGGTTAAGATTCAAGTTCTCTTACTATATTAAATTGTTGCAAATTGAGGATTAAGATGGTGTATCTTGGCTGCCAAAATCATCGTGCTAAATGGCTTATGTGGCATATTATTGTTCATGATTGTAAGAGTAAAGAATAAGGATTATCTTGAAGTATAATGAAAGTGTGAGTAGCATCCCATAAACAGGATTTTATAAATGATATTTTCTTATTTGTTTTATTGTTATTTAGTACCCCATATTTTTCAAGTATTGTTTCATCAAAACAACTTCATTTCATTTGTACCATTATTTGTTTTTATTTGTTCGATATTGTAAATTTTTTTTTTCCCCATCTTGAAATGCCTTGTTTGAGTTATTATTACTCGAAAAAATGATTTTAGCTCTTCGATGGAATTTGAGGAAAATATTTGGGATTTTATGAACTTTCATGCTGGGGTCTTTTGTTATGAAATATTCTTTTTACATGTTTTCGATGATAGAAAAGATTCTTGTTTATTGATGATAAATTGGCCCCATGCATGCTTGAAAATGATTTTTGTGAGGATTGAATACAGAACGCTGGTTGCTAATAGCAGTACTGTTAGCCCTTAGTGTGCCATGGTAATATTGGGCTCGCTTGTTATTCATGGTTTCGGCTACGCTTGTCATTTGTGGGTGTTGTCCCTGCGCTTGTTTCATAGCTTTAGCTACCCTTGTACTCGTGGCTTCAGTCGTGCTTCTTGGTTACCTACCCACTCTATCCCCATGCCTCTTCGTTCTATTGAAATCCTCCATTGAAAAATGTTTTTCAACACTATTCGTGATTTGATTTCAAAAAAAATGCCTTATAAAGTTTTGTATATTGAAAATGTTTTATATTTATATATATTCCATGTTTTAATGATTTTTTCACAAGGTAATTGTAAACCGGTCGGTTACCTTGTTGTATTTGTACAAGTTATTATTTTAGGATTTGTTTTATCTTATTCTTATTAATGGGATGCTATTCACTAGTAAAATTTATTTTGGCCTTAGATAGCACCGCTAACCTTGCACCTTCAACCAAATAGGAGAGGGGAAAAAACTCTCATTACTGATCAAAGCTTAAAACAACTGCTAATTGATGTAAAACTAAGTTGCATTTATGTAGTTATTTATTTATGGGTTTTAGATCCTCCACATAATCTATGGGCAGACCCTTGCTTGTATTTATTATTCTAAATATATGAATATATGTTCGTATTGTTGTTGAGGGGAGCTCGCTATTTTGTGTTGTGCCTGCGAGTTATTTGCAGAGTTCTACTAATGGCCTTGTATTTTGATTACAAGAGATCTATTCTATATGAATGGTATTGTAATTATTATGGCAACTGTTTATTCATATGTTTTAAAGCTTTAGGAATATGAGTTCTCTCATATTCTGTGCTGGTCACCCCTGAATTTTTGGGGTGTGACATCCGTGGTTGTTTTTCTGCAAGTATTGAAGAAGGTTCAAACCCTAAGGCTTTGTCTGCTCCCAAAATCCAATGAGATTGATTTGTTCATTCTGGCTCTGAATCTATATTTGAATTTGTGCCCCTCGTCATCTGTTCCCAGCGTGTTTGTCTCCGCTGTGTCGGATGCCGTCAGACTGTTTGTTGCTTTGTTTTGAAATTTTCATTTTAATTTGTCTTTGAATATAGTCATTGTAATCGTTTGAGCATTGATGCTTTTGAATAAAGATTGAGGTTGATTTTTTTAGAAGAACTTTGATTTCTACTTTTTACTTCAGTGGTGTGTAATCAGCTGCTTCTTCCCTCTTCATTTTGATTGCTAGCGACTTATATGCTTTGGTTTTTTTTTTGCCAGGTTGGATTTGTTGTATGTTGGCATTCCGTCTGTTAATCTCTTTATATTATCATCCGTTTAGAGAATTCTTAAGGTATTTGTGATGGTGATCTGGTGAATGACTTGACTTGTGTTGTGTTGGGCAATCTAGAAGCTTGAGTTTGAATTATCATTCTTCAGTGGCTTGGTGGAGTTGCCTGAATTAATTGGTTTACAAAGGCATCTTCGTTGAAGTATCTGGAACAAAAATTAGAAGGGCATTATATCAACCATGCATATTTCAAAGATTTCAGTTGGTGCTGATGCGCCTACTGAGTGTAACATAGTTCCATCTATGATTAGGTTTATAAGAATGAGTATGAAGTTATTTAGTTGATCTTATGTTTATAAGATATGCTGTTAGTTGTTTGTTTGTTTCAGGTTTATTCTCATGCTTATAAATTGATCCGTTAGTCATTTTTAATTGCTATTTAGCTTTGCGATATTTATTAATATTATTTAGTTTTGACAATGATCTTGTTTTGACACAAAATAGTGAAGAAATGAGATTTATTAGAAATTGCAAAGAACTTTGCATGTTTCGTTTCTGCCTTTATGGACACTGCTTGAGATTAGAAATGGTATGGTACGGAACTGCAACCCATTCAAGGTCTAACTCAAAGGGGTGCTTAAATACCCTCAATGGTCTGGCAACCTGAAAGACTGAGCCCAGCCTGATGTGGTATCATGTTCATCTGGGCTGGACTGTCCTTGAGTAGCCCGGAAGCAAAGCCTAGCCCGAATGAACAACTGGTCTAGCCCTATCTGTGTGAAAGCCTAGGGAGGACCATATAAATGTTTGAATCCTTTGCACATCTAAGCAAAAATACAAACCCTGCATCTACTGAAATGCATTTTTAGCCATTGGTGGCTCAATGCTTATGCAAATCTCGGTTATTTATTCCATTTAAATCATCAATCTATTTTCCCTTCATATCACTGTCTCTTTCCTTTCTCATAGGTCTTATCTTCTTATTGAACCAGAAGAAAGGCTGCTTCACTCGTCTCCTTTGTGCTACAGATAGTGTACTTCTTGGTCTCGTCCTATATGCTCTATCTTATGCCCTTGCTGGTCTTCTCTCCTCCCTGCGGTCTTCTATTTGTAGTTGAAAGCCTCATTGTTTGAAGCCATTCTTCTCCTCAGGTTAGATTGATTGAAATACAAATAATTGGGGTTGATATTTTGCAAGATTGGTGCATTGGATTTCAGATCAGTTAATTTGTTTTAATGTTAGTTCTTGGTGAGAATCAACTTGTATATGTATTTGTTACAAATGCACGCTTGCCCTTCTAGATCCAAAGTGCTTAGTATGCTTTGGTTACTCAATATTTGGTTGATGTAAATGCTATAGAATTAGTATTTGCTTGACAAGACATTTGTCACTGAAGGCACTGATATAAACGGGAGTCGTAATTTTTTGTTATACTCTTCATGTTTATGTTACATGTTTAGTAAAATGCTTTTAATTCAATATGTATGTCCGAGGTGTCGAGTAATCTAATTTGTGCTCCTTATTTGAATCTGTTATTTTTATCCATGCTAACTATTGATGCTTTATTCAACTACGGATAGTAATATCTGTTATTATATTTTTGTAACTTGTAGTTAACAGGCATCAGGAGAAAACTGGATAGAAGCAGTCAGGAGAGAACCAAACATCACCAGACTTACTGGTGCCCTTTGGGTGGGCACTTCAGTCTCCTGTGCTTTAAAGATTCTTCGACTTCCTGTATCTTCACAAGTTGCAAGTGATGGATGAGAATGAAATTCCCACAAACGTCCCACAAACAGAATACTCTGACCCAGATCTTCAGAGGAAGCACTCATTAATGCTTGAGCGCCTCTCAAACCGTCACCAGAATCGTTTGGATAACTCCCGCCGATCTGAGTCTGGATCATCTTCTTTTGAATCCACTTCATCCTTTTTTTCACGCTTTTCTGAAATGAAGTGCTCCATTGAGTCTCGGCTAGCTGATTGCCAAACTGCTCCCTCTGATCCAGCTCAACTCAAGTTTCACTTTGAAAAAATATCTGCATCTATTTCTGATCTAGAGAAACTTGTTGCTGAAAACTCATATTTCTTGCCATCCTATGATGTTCGATCCTCACTCAAAACTGTTGCAGATTTGAAACAAAGCCTTGAGAGTTTGAATTCCCAACTTGTTCCAAAAAAGAAATTTGCATTTAAGAACAAAGGAAACAAGAAAGAATCCGGTGTTGCAGAATTGAAAGAGCCTCCTCCTTCGAAGTGCACTGATGCTTCACCAGAGAAACTTACCGTGTGGGATTCGCCAGGATTTAGAGGCAAAGTAGGTCAGGTTTTGTTCGAGGAGTTTAGGGGATCAGAAGTTGGAGAATTCACAATTTCAGACCTTGATTCTTGTGAAGTTAGATTAATTGGTTGTTTAAGGGCGCTTTTTATTCATAGGCTGAAGAATTGCCAGGTTTATGTAGGGCCTGTAATGGGTTCAATTCTTATTGAGGAAATTGAGGGATGCATCTTTGTGATGGCATCTCATCAAATTAGGATTCATCATGCCAAAAGAAGTGATTTTTACTTGAGAGTTAGGAGTCGACCCATAATTGAGGATTCTAGTAGTGTGAGGTTTTCACCATATTGTTTGACTTACGAAGGGATTGAAGAAGATCTTCAGCATGCTAGTCTTGATAATGAGACTGGAAATTGGGCAAATGTGGATGACTTCAAGTGGTTGCGTGCAACACAATCTCCAAATTGGTCAATATTGCCAGAGAATCAGAGGATTAAGATTGTTGATATATCAACTCAGGAGATTAAAAACAACAACACTTGAGTTCTATGCATGTCTCATAGCATGCCAAAGTGTTCAAGATTGTGTCTTTTTTGTTAAGGGCTCATTCAGTTCAGTTATATGTCAGGTTTGTTATTTCTGATACTTGATCATGCATTAATATAATTTGGTAATAGTCATAATCACTAGATTCAATATACCTCATTTCTCTGCTCTTTACTGTTATGTTGAAAGTGAGCATGGTAAAAATCTTCCATGCGGCCATTTGCATGGATGATAATCTGGGTATTCACTGAATGTGTTATTTTAGTTTTGGCGCTCTAAGTAAATGATTCCTTACTACTTAATCATCAAAGCTCTAATTGTTTCATGATTCCTTCAATTGATATCTTTATTTTCAAACGCACCACCTCATATTGAAAAGAAAATCGAGTGAGTTTGGACACTATGTAGTGTGTTAAAATTTAATTTTAAGATGTCTGGGAATGGGGCAACAACAATTGAAGTCTTAAATGACTAAATGAGACTAGTTGACGTCAAGAATCAATTTTATAAATATATTTAGCAGTCTGCCATTATATACATCATTAATCCATTATTCCATAGATTTCAATGTTGTTTGCAAAGACATGGTATTTTCACCGTATATCAGCAATTACTTGGTTCCCTGCTATTTTGTTCTTTGAATATCTTGGTCCTAAAGAGCAAAAGTTCAAAATATTTTCTCTTTGCTCCACTGCTATTTCTACAGGATAATATACTTAGGAAATTACTTTTGTTTGGTTTTGCATTTCTCTGTCCAAATCTGATGTCGATTAGAAGTTTTGAGTATAGGCATCTTAAATCATACCTGTGCTGCCTATGTTTTCTTGAGCTACAAAGAGATGATGTGGCAACATATTGGGGTCACGATGACGATATTTGTCTAAATGCATCACGCTTTTGCTGTGTTAGAAGGATAAGAGCATCTTTTTTGGTTTGGTCAGGAAAATATTCCTTCAACTTCGAATAAGGGTCTATTATTTATCTTCGCCAAATGTGATTGGACCACAGGGATAGCCTATGTACCTCAGATCAAGATACTTTGATGGGGGGGGGGGGGGATGGACTAATCAGTGGCATTGTTGGACTGGTGCAAACGCAATACTCCGTTTTTTACCTCATTTGATTTTGGCGAGGGATATTGGATTAAGGGTCTAGCATTTGCTTTTATTAAAGTAATTAGTGCTTGGATGGTGCATGCTCTCCAGAAATCGTTATAGACATTGTCACATTGATGCATGCTGCCAATTTAAGTGGTGTCCTTAAATTTCATTACGTCCTTTATGATTTTCACTGTTACTAGTTGAATTTATGATTTTCGGCAAGTAATTGGACGGTTTGATTCCTGTTGGTTCTCGTAGTACTTTTCTGCTTTGTAGTTCTTTCATTTTATTTTTAATTTTTTCTCATTCTGCTAATTATTTTATTTTGACACTCGTATTTTTTTCTTGTTATTATGTAGGTTATCTCTGTTGATGCCCTTGACCTGTTGATCAACAATTTATTGCCAGCCAACTGGGTCGTTCTTGCTGTACTCTTAACAGAATGGAATTCAAGTTAATGGGAATTAAAGTCAACAAAATGCATTGCCGAGTGTTACGATTGCTGTGTGTGAGAGAGTGGACATGTGTGAAGAGAACAACAGAACCCTACAATTTTCCAGCTGCAGCACCATGTCCATGCTGCTCTGAATCTCCCTATTTTGAATTTCGATCTTATTTAATGTTTATGATTAGTCTAATTTTTTTTTTGGGAAAAAGTTATATTTATTCTGCTTTTTGTTTCCTTTAAAATCAAAACAATAGTAAAACTCTCATTCTCCTTTAAATTAATCTATAATCTTTCCTTGTTTTGTTTTTTTTTTTTTTTGTTTTGCCAACAATCTATGATCTTTCTTTGTGCTGCGGACTTTCAATATCATGGTACAGTAGATCTATTTTAAGCGTCGTTTAGCCGACAGCGTGTATATAAAATGGACTCAGACGAAAAGAGAAAAGAAAAGAAGGAGAAAATCATGAGCCACAGAAAAATTCTTACCAAACCCAATGAAAACTTCATTAGTATTTCGTGAACATGACGATTTGTTTCAAGATAAACTCATCCTGATGATTCTTATCCCCATTTCGTTATATACACATATTACAAAGCAAATTGCCATTTTGCTTATGCTTTTAGCTTTTTGAAATGCGTCAAAAACTAATATGAACCGCAAATCTCTAGATCTGGTTGAAATTGTGAAATCATCCTGACAAATCTGCTCGGTGCTATTATTCTTTTTTATTATGGAAGCTTGAGTCTAAATTTTGCATTAAAGAATATTTTTGTCCTTAAATTATTCACACAGGAGCATGGAATATCTTAAACAGTTAAACTACCAAGTGATACAATGTTATCCTCAAACATGAAAAAACATTACGACGTTTTCCATGGCGTTAAAAATCAATAAACATCCATTAACTATGCCACCAAATAACTTGGACATCGCGTTAACCATACTAATACAATAATTTAATGCCCCCACAAGGGCAACATCCATTAACTATACGATGTGGGGCTTGCACACGCATCTGCACTTGTCTTTAGCGTGCATTTACTCCTTTTAAACGGCAGAAACGATATTGCAGTGTTCTTATCCGTTTGAAAATATTTTTAGACCACTTAGGATGAGATTGATAAGCACTTAAAAAAAAATGCTTTGACGATATAAAACTCTTCTCATATATTTATCATGTATACTATCAAATTACTTTTATAAAAGCCGATATAAATATCACCTTAATAATTTATCTTACCAAGTATTAATGTAGATTTAGTTCGGGGACAAAAATGCCCTTTTAACTCTTAAATATTTTGCTCTGACACAAAACTCTAAAATATTTTGATTTTCATGATTCTTACTGGACAATATCTACCCGTTCAAATACAAAACAAATGTAGTTTAATTTAAAATATTTAGAATTAAAGTACATCTAATCTTTTTTTTTTTTGAAAAAGAAAAAGAAAAAGTGACTGTGAGGGCGTATAAAATTCTTTCCCCCCTCTTGCCGATCACTGTCTTTTTTTTTTATTTCTGATTAATTACGAACTTCAATTCTAGCATGAATTGCAAATTCAATATAATTTACCGTAATCCCCTAGGAATGATGGATAAACAGCTTTGACATCAAATATACATACATACATATATATATATGTAAAAGAATTGGCAAACAAAAATATTTTCTTAATAATAAAGCACAAAGACTATGCCCTGTTGATAATCAAATATAATCTTTTGCAAGCTACCAAGTACTAAGAAATAAGAACAAAAAGGAAACCCCTCCTAATTAAGTTGCTACATATACTATAACAAATAAATATATATTTATTTTTTAAAAAAATGAGAAACCAAAATAATGACGGGGTTTATAATAATCAAGGAAATGATTTTTAAGAAGAAAGAATAGATGTCATGCATGAAGAGATACTTATCATTTTTCTTCCTTATATACTACCTCCGATCCTTAATATAAGACCTTGTTTGGTTTTTATTTTGGTCCTAAATATATGACCCCAATCCACTTTGTCTCTTATATTTATATATTTTTTCCAAGATAGTCCTCTTAACAATGATAGTTCTAGCCAATATATTTGATTAGTAAGAATATTTTAGGAAAGACAACACCTATTTGTTACAAATAACTAACTCAACTTCTTTCCTTAATCTCATCAAATTAGTCAACTAGCCTTATAATTAGGATCAGAAGTAGTATATGCGGATCGCAGTTACGAATTTTTTTTCCCAACCAAGAGAAAAAAGGTTTTTATTTTATTTTAAAAAGCTTGAATATTCTCGACTTTGCAATTGCCATGTTTAATTTGCCAGTATTTGGTTTGCATTGACTTTGGTAAATCGTCTTTATATAATTTGATTTCTTATGGAGATTAATGTTTCCATAGAGAAGCAATATATTCCCTTTACGTCATGACTTAGATATTTGAGTTTCTATATACTCCTTTTCCATTATGGTCATAAGCACTTGGACTTTTGGTCTTTTATCACTTTTTTTTTCGTCTATTGCTTCCTTTGTTTAATATGCCTGTAGCAAGAGGGTTGTTCAAACTTCAAACGCAAATTATATGCTCCTCTCTCATTTGTAGGATAAATTATATGAGTATTTTTTTTCTTAATATAAGTTCTCTTATTTAAAGTTATTATATTAAATTTATTCTATACCCATAATTTATTGTTATAAGAACTATTACTCTTTTGAAAAGTATATACTCCACGCATTCCTTAACATGACGATCACTTAAAATAATTTGAGTAGATTAAGAAAATTAAATACATTAGTTAATTATAACAAAACGCAAACAGATGTCCCTAAAATATTATTGTATAACTAGATTATAAATCAGTTTATAAGTTAGATAAATTAATTTGAAAAAAATGATAAACATAATAGATAAAATGGATTGAAATCTTATATTTATGATCAAATCCAACCCTAAACTAATTCTTATATTAGGAACCGGCTGTAGTATATTAAGTAAGGATAAAATTAGAATATTATTAAATTGTAAGAGAAAAGCTATTGAGGTAGTCAAATTTAATAAAACATGTTGAATAATTGTCCTATAAATAAAATCAGAAAAATGTGAATGTATACTGTGGAATATAATATTGTGTGTTCGTTTTATGGCCACAGACACAATTCACGTGTAATAGACGCAAAATAGAAGTGGCTCACTAGTAAATCGTAATTCGTTGTGCGTGGTTTCTTGATTAGTTAACTTTTGTTCATTGGACTAAACGACGCTTGGAGGGACACTGTCACTGTCGTTGTTGGTTGAAAATGAGGCCATCATCACAATTCCAAAGCTCCAAGCCACAGACGCCCTTCTTCTTATTTCCATCTTAATATTATAATATTATTTTGAATGGTTCTAAAGTGTATATATATGCAACATTATGCCATAAAAAATAAGTCTTGTTTCTTAATTAATTAAAACTTTACCTAATGCATTATGTATGACCTGCAGAGTTCGTTGAAGTTGCTTGCTTGCTTATTCATTACCCTAAAGATGTTATGTCAAAATTTTACAAGCTCATTGAAGTGTTTAATTTGTTGATATTATTAAAACAAAGTATGCACTTTATTTTTTTAATTTTTATGAAATTATACAATTTTTTTCTTGGAATTAAGAGGGATCATTATGCATATATCAATCCTTCGTTAAAATTAATTATTCGATTTTTTTCATGAAAATTTTCGAAATATATTCAAATCTCAGGACGAGTTAATAAAATTCAGGGACTGTTGTCAATGTAATTTTTTTTTTCATTTTAGAAAATGTTAGTATACATTTTGAAAATATACGTGATGTTTATATAATTTCACTAAAATTTAAGAAAAATCTAAATAATCTACTGTCATATTAACCAGCACCACAAGTGTAATTATTCTATTTGTATAACAGTAAGACTTAAGTCTCTTAATCAACTCTGGTTTTGTTAAAAAGCGTGAACAAAACCGGCAAGCTTGCAGATAGAAGCTATATAATATCCTCGTAAACCTTTGGTTTTAACGAATATAAATATAAATGTGTATAAAAAATGAACATAAAAATAAATAAAATCTTCTAAGAAAGAGAGTAGTGCTTAAGAAGGTATATATATCTTTCTACCTTATTTAATTTTTTTTGAATACATTGTTTGGTTATTATATTGCCGTAGCCGAAGATCTAAGTTGTTTACGCGAATTTCCAATATTAATATTAACTAAATATATAGGAACAAAAGAGATGAAAATATATAAGAAGGAAGAAAGTCGGGGTTTAGATGTAACGGTTAGAAACTTAAGCGAACAAGCAAATCAGTTGTTTAGCGGATCAATACAAGTTTGATTTTTTCTAATGCAAAAAGAATCTCACTGTTAAACGCTGACATCATTAACCTTCTTACGTTAAAGAATAAAAAACCTGCTCTCTTCTTCCGTTCTTTCTTACGATTCCAGAAGCTCCTCTGGTCCAATCCACACCCAAACCAAGTTGAACAAGCAATCTCTTTAAAACCCCATATGTTTCATTACGTGTAGACTCCAAGAGTTTTTACTAACTAATTAACTGTTTTGTCTTTCCCCGTAATTAATCCAAGGTTGAGAATGACTGCTTCATTTCAAAATATGATCATTATATTCAATGACCTTAAATAAGTGGAAGTTCACAAATTATCTATAAAGGTTTTTATGTTGACGAAGTCATACTATTGTAATCAAGCTTTGGTGAATTACAAGACCAATTATGCAAGAAGCTAGACCAAACTTCATGGACTAATGGAGAGAGGGTTTTAGTTAACTATGTATAAGTTAATTGCCTTTTTGACTTAGGCCGTATTAAATACCATATTCGTAAGAAAGAAGTACCCTCTAAGAAATAAGAAAAGCACCTTTAATTCTTTGAACAGTTCTTTTTTTTCTTGTTTTTCTTGAACGTACGTAGTCAACGGGTTGAAAGATGGGCTTGCAAGGATCATCTTTTACATGGTAAAAATTGTTCCTCTTGATTATATGCACTGTATGTGTGTTTTTTTTTTAGCCACCGGTTATATACTGTTATTTATCAATAACAAGTAGGAAAAATAAATATTGAATAAAAAATTGTCATCTAACTAAGGTTTAAATCACTAAATGAGTATATTTCTTTCCGTCCTAAATATAATTAGTTACTTTTAACTACTATGAGTAAAATCCAAATTAACTGGTTAAGATAGTTATTTATAATTAATATGACACTTTTTCAAACTTACCATTATCATTTAATAATTAGAATTTAATGAGGGTTATTGTGGAAAGGAAACAACACAAAATGGAATTAGACATTATAAGCCAATCAAAACTTTCAAATGAACCTTATATTAGGGGGAGTACAAGTTGAATTAAGCTTGCTCCACTAGATTGTTTTATCAATAAAATGACATTAATTGATCTCCAAAATCACCTAATTAAGATAAATCTACGTACGCGTGACATCAGTTCGTATGTTGTATACGTATGGATCTCCAAAATCTAACATGGTTGAAAATAATAAGCATCTTCCATGCTTTTTTGGTCTCTGAGACTTCCTTGTATTGCATTTTTCCAATTCGCCGACCTAGGAAATTAAAGCTGTCTGAACTCACGAACACGAAACAAGACCATGCCCAGGAAGAAACGACGCCGTCGAAGGATTGAGACAAATATATATAAAAAGCATCGAGGACAATGTCTTCATCAAGACGCTATAATAAGAAAAGGGATATGAATTCAAAGGGAGTTAAGAGTTAGAAAGAACAACAACGTAAGAACTTGAAACAGATATTTGCCTCACCCACTTTTCGTCTAACACACACCTTAATATTTGAATCATCATTATCTCTTCTTCTTGTTCTTCTTCTTCTTATATATGTTGTCTTCATCTGGATGAAAGCTTTGTCACAAATTCACCTACATTTTCCTTTACCTGACATCACTTCGTTGTTATTATTTCCCTTTTCTACTATTTATAATTGCTATTAATATTAATATTGATCAACAACACCTAACAGTGTTGAAAAACGAACATTGTACATACGCTTTTTCATGTTTCTTAGGGAGCTTGCACGTATATACTATCATTTTTCATGTTTGCCGTTTGGTGGGGGTAACCAGCTTGCTGTCTCGTGTACATACAGAAATTGGACAATGCATGGCAAGAGAGGGATTCAAAGTACTAATAATATTAAAAAGACTGAAACGATACTTTTTATGTTTAAATATACGAGTATCAATTTTCTCCTTTTTTGTGTTTTTCTTTGTCTGTTTCTCTTGCATGATTTTGGTTATGTTTAAATATATGAATATCAATTTTCTCCTTTTTATTTTTGTTTCTTGGTCTGTTTCTCTTCCATGATTTTGGGTAGTTCAAACTTGACATTATACTGAATAATAGAGAACTCTAAAAGGACTTTGTTTTTATTTGTTTGTTATTAGTTTTCCTCATAAGCATAATAATAATAAGTGTGTGTGTGTGTCTGTGTAATTGGATTCTTGTATACAATATTATGCTTTTGTTAAATCTAATGGCTGCATAAATAAAAAAGGAAAAAGTGTAGTGCCTGCTTGGTTGCATGGAGATAAATGTATGCTCTTAATGCTTGAACATTGAAATATCAAAAAATTTATTATATTATAATAATTTACTTTTCATTCAAAAAAAAAGTTTACTATTTTTATTTACAAAACTTTTAAATTTAATTTTCGTGATATTATTATTTGTCCAATTTACTTGTTATATACTATCTATTAAGCCGAACAAACATTAATTCAAACTAAGCGATTTCGAGTTTTTTACATTCACACACATACATATCTGGTATAAAAAGTACATTCATATATATATATATATATAGATAATTTATTTAAAAAGAGCTAAAAATGAGATGGCGAGGATACAAATAAAATATAAAATATATGTATATATAATTATACTTTTGTCTGTTTTAATTACTACGTATAAGTATACAAAATTTATCGTAATTAAGTCGTAAGAGGAGAGGGAAGTTCCCCAGAGTGGCAAAAGTCGCTTTTGCATACACGCAAAGTACATATCGTGGAATATCAAGTTTATAAACCCAGCCATGCAGATATGTCTTGTGTTCTGGTTTTTAGCTATATATTGTTACTGTATATGCGCCTGCCTTTTTATTTAAAAAGGAAAAAATTTAAAGTAATCCATGGAAAGAATGGGAATATAAATTACTGACGAAACAGAATGAAGGGTATAATTTTAATTTTAATTTAAAAACGTGTGTGTATCTGGCTGATTAATTTTAAATTTTGTATTATTCTAGCCATCTACGAGCTTCCACCTGCTATATATCGCTGCTGACTTCAATCCCCATCCCTATTGGTTAAACTAAACATATATAAACAGTCAATCCGTACAGTTAACAACGGAAATTAAAGCAACAAGTTTGAATTAGACTGCCCATATCCAAAATAAAAATTTACTACTCCTCTGGTCTTAAATATAAGACCCATTTTGTAATATATAGTATTTTATCTGGAGACTTTGTACAATGCATGGCGTCTGATTAAGAATAAGAATACTTATAAATAATGTAATTTGAAAATTTTCTATATTATTATATACAGATATATACTAGAAAAGTCTACTTTTGCATCTGCTTTTTTGAGGGGGGAAAAATACTTGCTATAATACTATAGAGTACTTTTTTACAATAAAGTAGTAGTTTGTTAAGAAATAGGTTAATGATAAATAAATAGCCATCAACAATTTTCAATTGTTAAGTCAAACTTTGCTATTATAATTCAAATATATGATTTACTGTTCCTAACTTAGCTAATAGTTGAAATAAAATAGAGTATTTACTATATTTCAAAATGAATATGTTAATATTTTACCGTGAATCAAGTGTTTGTTCATATAATAATAAAACTGGTAAAGTTTTAGATATTTTCAATTAGGTAGCCTCCTTACATTATATATGCAGTTTGATGTATATTGTTTTTTACCAGCACATGAGATGCACATGAAGTATACAATTTTAAGCTTGTAAACATTTGTGATTTGTTATGAATTTTGTATTTAATTATTGATCGGTATGAACATTGACTAGCTAATAATATTGATACGTGGATAATTGTTAATATTTGTATAATTAAAAAGGAACAACAGTCGCAATAATTGGTGCAAGATTTCGTATTAATTATTAAGTATTAATTATATTGATCCACGTAAACGAAGGGGTACGCCTCGTTCAACTCGCGGGTCGGCCAAAACCGAATCAACAACTGTTTATAAATAGGGAATGGAAGCTTATGAAACTTCAGAGCAACTGTGAGGATTATAGCAGACCCAGTTCAGTCCCTAACCGGGAGACTCTGAACTGAACTTGAAGATATCAGAGAGCCAGAAGAAAAAATGGGAAGATCTCCTTTCAGTGATGAGAATGGTTTGAAGAAAGGACCTTGGACCCCTGAAGAAGATAACAAGCTTGTTCATTACATTCAGAAACATGGCCATGGAAGCTGGAGGTCTCTCCCCAAACTAGCTGGTATATACATCTATACACTTATCCTCTCTCTCTCTCTCGCTCTATATATGTGTGTGTGTGTGTGTGTGCCGTTTTGAGTACTATCTAAATGGGTGATTTATTGTGCAGGGCTTAACAGATGCGGCAAGAGTTGCAGGCTAAGATGGACGAACTACTTGAGACCAGACATAAAGAGAGGGAAGTTTTCCAAAGAAGAAGAAGAGAGAATTCTGAATCTGCATGCTATCCTGGGAAACAAGTATGTTACTGTACTAATTAACAGTAACTTGGGATCAGTATGTATAGTTTCGTGTTTTCGATGATTTATATATTGACGTGTTTAATGATGTTTGTCGTAGATGGTCGGCAATTGCGAGGCACTTACCAGGTCGTACTGATAATGAAATAAAGAACTTCTGGAACACTCACCTGAAGAAGAAGCTGATTCAAATGGGTTACGATCCCATGACTCACCAACCACGAACTGATATCTTCTCTAGTCTCTCTCATCTCTTAGCTCTCGCCAACCTTAAGCAACTTCTGGATCATAATGCTTCCAGTCTTCAATTCCTGCAGCATCTTGTTCAACCTCGTACCAGTAGTCATCAAGCAAACACAAACGCTATGAACATCGACAGTTTCGCCCACTTGATGAATCCGTCACTTCATCAGTTAGACAACAACGTTGTCAATAATAATGACTCGTCCATGGCTTTTTCCCACATGCCTGAGTTAATCACTCATTCTTCTTCTTCTTCTACCTATCAGACGCCTCCATTTATTAGCAAACAGGACATGGTTCAAATCCCAGAATATTGTACAGTGAACAACAAGGAAGAGAGTGGTTCTCCCAATAATTCCACGTGGCTTCAGTCGTGTGTAAGCACGCCGTCTCCTTCTTTTGTTCAGGCGGAGACTAAGACGCCGGCGACGGCGACAGTGACAGTGACTAATAATTGCATGGCCGATAACTGCTCTCCGGCTTGCGATTTCGGAGAAGTTGTTGGTCTTTGGCCTGAGTCAGAGCTGTTTCTAGAAGACCCTTTATTTCATGAGATTAATGCCTAGTTTTTTTTTTTCCTTTTTTGGCCTTGAAATGCCTGGTGATTTTATGTTAATTACGGCTTTACTGTGTGTATTCTTGTGCTTTTTTTTTTGCTTTTGTAAATAATGTTCATTATTATGAGTATAGTCCCTTATTATTGACGTTTTGAAATAATATATGTAATCTCTCCGTGTAATTTTATGACTGCTGCCTAATTATATAATTCTAATTCGTTTCTTGTTTCGCTTCTTTATCTGCCTAACTTTGAGATGTAGTTGGTGGTATAGTAACTTCAATGAATAATAATACGTCCTATTATAACATTAATGATTTTCCCGACAACGATATATTGTCGAGGGAAGTGAAGTTTAAGAAGCCATTGACCAAACCCTTAGCAACTTGCACCAGCGAGCCAACTACCCTAACTAGACATATAGCGACCAGCTCGGAATTTCTTAGGAATTTACATGGACCAAACACGTCCAGTCATATTTTTACACTTTTTTAAAAAAATTATTAATTTTTTCCATCACAAAACACACGCACACCCATGAACTTTTAATTTATTCACTTGATGTCTATCTAATTTTATTTTATTTTGATAACTCCAGCAAGTTTTATATAGTACAGTACTTAGCTTTTTGGGTAACAACGAAGTTTGATACTTTTGATACTACCTTGTATGTACATATTATGCCTATATATACTTTTAATTACATACAAATATTGGCCCCAAAAAAACAATGCCTTGTATGTACGAACAAAATGATTTGGTATATTATGTAATCCATCGTCAAGACGTTAACTCTGATAGCAAAACATTGAACTTTTGACAATGTGAAAAGAATCATTTCCCATTTTCCGGTCAATTATATATTAATTTGAGGTTTGCCTTTAAGGTAGAGTGAGCATATGGAAGGTCAATACTTAATAGTCTTGCAATTAATTACAGTCTCTACGTGGAGTGTCCCACATGGAGAGAGAGAGAGACACAGTTTGACATGCACAATAGTCAATGGAGTGACTTGAAGGAATGGCAAATATATGAGAGAACAAATGAATAGCAATTCAGAAGAAAAGGAGAGGCTGGATTTTTCTGATGAACTAGGATTTTAACTATAGGGGTATTTGGTTTTTTCCTGAAAGTGCCTTTTAAGATCATTTTTACTCAAATCAAAATAAAACTTTTCTCATAAATTTACTTTATATACTGTAAAATTATTTTTAAATTTATGGTTTGATTTTTACTCAAGCACGCTTGCAGTTTTGAATTAAAACCATCTTGCATGTTATAGAACTTGTGGCTGTTGGAGTTATGCTGGTGCTTTTGTTTTCTTGGTCTGGAAATCAAGATAATCTGTCCACTTAATCTGCTTTTTCTGGGTTTCTTAGTTTCAAGAAATCTTACGCTGCACATTTAATTTTTTTTAATAATGATTAATTAAAGGGGTTGCGTTGAGCAAAAAAACTAAATATTTTTTTTAAACGAAATAACACAACATGGCACTGAAAAATAGTAGATCAGCAATAAAATTGAACGAGGGATTTACGACAAAATTTACATATTTCGTCACTAATTTATTATTTTTTATAGTCTAAGTTAGGATTTTTAGATGAGGGATCAAGATTGCAAAGCATAGGGTGATTGAAAAAGAAAAACACACACACACACACACATATGGGGGGGGGGGGAGGAGGAGAGAGAGAGAGCCACTTAAAATATGAAAGAAAACCCACGGCTGTAATTTACCATTGAAAGAGGTAAATATTTTTAAGGATGCAGTAAAGTCATTTAATACGAAGAATACTTGCAATTTTGTTAAAACAATTTTACTATATTGATTTTTTTAACCAGAAAAACGACTCGATTCGGATATGAAATGCAGCAATATGAGTTTAATATGTCTAAAAAGATCTAAATTTTCATAACTTTATTACTGAATTACATATGCCAAAATTAAAGTATGTAGATGTTGGAAAGTATATGGTTTTTGTCCTTTTATCAAAAAGATAGCTTATTGATCGAAGCATTTGCAACCCAACATGCTGTTCAATTTGATTCTTTGAATTATTTTTCTGAAAAAAATTATGATTGCTAATTGAATTTCGTATAAAAAATGTTTTCCATCAAAACAAAAACTTTACTATCATGTTCAATTAAAAAAAACTTCGAATATTACAATAAGAATTCTGGACACAATTTTACATGTTAAATTTTTAAAATATTTTTTGAGAGACCAAAAATATATAATATTACCTTCAATTTATTTTATTTCTCATATTTATCATTTTTTTTCTAAACTAACTCACTTAATTAATTTGTAAATTGATATATAATATAACATTGTACAAAAATATTTTTAAAACATTATATCATATTTTTATAATTAACTAATTTATTCAAATCATTCTTAATCTATATAAATTATTAAGTACTTTTTTTATTAATAATAGAAGGAAATATCATTATGTATTAAGACAAAATTAAAATTTCCAGGGCACTGTTAGGCCCCCGTCCCCTTGTCTCCGAAGGCAACAATATAATGTTCATTTCATATAGTTGACTGGGAATTAAATCGGTCGGCCTCCCTGAATAACAGACAAAACAAGAGGGTGGATTCAATTGGGCCACCTATTCTATTTCTATTTGAGAGTTGGGTTTGGATAAGATTTCACATAAATTGACTATTTCATCATCATGTCTTTGCTCTCTTACAATATGATAATCAATATGTTTTTTTTTCTTAACTCAAAACACTTTTAAGTCATTGTGGGCTTGAAATTATTATTTATTGAATTGGGAGCATTAAAATTAATGTCCTTTCAACGGATATACTTTTTAAAATTCGAACTTATGCTCTACTTATGAAATGAAACTACTTACTATCTCAACTAATAGCGTGTTTATAGAGATTATCAATATGTTTTGAACCATCCATTAATTCCGTATATATTAATTATATTCATTCAACTACCCCTTGATATTCTTCAAACTGTTCAATAATTTATCCTAGATTTTGATTTGACACTAATTTAAATATTCCTTGTACCATATCATTATTCAAGTAAGAAACAATAATGACAAGACACTATATATTTTGGTCATTTTTTTTAAAATAAAGGATATTATTAATTATCTTGATGAAACAAAAAAAGAGCATACATT